ACCACCACCACCACCACCACCACCACCACCACCACCACCAACAACAACAACAACAACAACAACAACAACACCACTGATGTTGCTGTGTTTCGTTACAGAGCATCTGCAGTTCTCTGTATGTGAGCAACTGCTACAACCTGCTGGTCACCTACCCCGCTGCCGACCTGCGCGCCGACGACGCCTGCGTCACGCAATGCGCCTACGTCGTGCGCGCCTTCCTCACCGGCTTTACGACGGAGCTCGACGTAAACCAAGTGAACAACGATGTGAAGTTCATCATTCCGACGCGGCAGGGCGTTGTGAACGCTGTCGTGCCACCTCTCGCGCTGCAAGCGTTCGTCGCCGATGTGCGCAAGTAGATAAAGGGCGTGCTCAAGGGCGTGTTCAAGGGCGTGCCCAAGGGCGTGCCCAAGGGCGTGCTCAAGGGCGTGTTCAAGGGCGTGCTCAAGGGCGTGCTCAAGGGCGTGGCGGTAGTGAAAACTGCGGTGTGTGACCTTCAGCACTGTAAGGTTACCGCTGCGATCGTCGCCACTGCAAGCGCACGAAAGCCCCAGAAAGCTCCTCGTTCGACATTCGAAATTTCAAAATTTTCTAATTTCAAATGACAGTTTTGGTATTTCGTAGCAGGGTGTATTTCGTATTTTTACCAGAAAGAGATAATGCGTGTAATATGCTTATGCTTTGCCTGTGTGTGAGGGGTATCTAGCATTGTACACGTTTTTTTCTACGTTTACATATTTTACACGTTTTTTTATTGATACTAATATTGTAAATAGTAAGTCCTTTTATAGACAATCATATTTCTAGATTCGCTACGTGTTTGTTAGATAACGTTTACTGTGCTGGTATATCGATGTTTCATGTTTATAAGCATTGACGTCATATGCGCACATGCGCAGTTCGGTTGGCAGCAAGCAGATGCGTGATATTGTTCGATACAAGCAAACGCACGCACGCACGCACTCACGTGTACGTACACACGCACGCACGCACGTACGCACGCACGTGTACGTGCACACGCACGCACACACTCATGCACGCACGTGTACGTGCACAGACACGCACGCACGCATGCACGCACGTGTACGTGCACACGCACGCACGCACGCAGGTATACGTGCACATGCATGCACGCACGCACACACGTGTACCTGCACACGCACGCACGCACGCACGAACGTGTACCTGCACACGTGCGCACACACGCACGCACGCACGCACGTATAAGTGCACACGCACACACGCACGCACGCACGCACACACGCACGCATGCACGCACGTTTACGTGCGCACACGTGTACGTGCACACGCACGCACACACGCACGCATGCACGCACGTGTACGTGCACAGGCACTTATGTTTTTGTCGTCAAATATCATCTTGTGTTGTCACTAATGCAGATATCATCTGGGGTTGTCACACGGTCAGATATCATTTAGTATTGTCACTAATGCATATATTATATCATCTGGTGCTGTCACCAAAAAATGTCATCATCTGACGCTGTCACCAAGACACGTCATCTGGTGTTGTCACTAATGCAGATATCGTATGGTGCTCGCACTAATGCAGATGACATCGGATGTTGTCACCAAGACATGTCTTCTGGCGCTGTCACTAGTAATATAATGCATGTGTCATCTGGTGTGTTTTATTATTATCAAGATATGTCATTTGGTGTTGTCACCAATACAGATATACAGTTGACTAACGAGGTTGTCATTGCACCATGTATTCGCGCATGGATTATGAGTGGAGAAGTGTAATAAGAGCGCAAGCGTGGCGGAATGAACGAGTAAACGAGGGTAAGTCAATCGTAATACGAGGGTAATACGAGGGTAACTCAATGAATCTATATTAATTATTTTGTCACGGCACATCGTATTCATAATATATCCATAATTAGTGTGGAGAGGCGGGTCCGCGAATCCTAGCGCCATCTTTATATATACTCATAGATATACTGATATGCATATCCTCCATGTTTTAAATAATCATTTCGTATTATATATTTACAAACTTCATCTGTAAAAATGAGCTCATTGTATTGATTTAACAATGAATCGTGAATGGGTATTATGTATTTGTTTTTAGTTTACGATTCTTTATTTTACGCAAGTGTTTCCGTATTAATCAGGGCCGTAGCTTGAGATCCTAGTAGCGAGGAAACATTTCGTGACGTCGCTAAGTAATCGCGTATCAATACTCTTTTTACGATTTCAAAGAATAAACAGCATGCGGGGTAACATTTCATTTTTATAAAGCGATCCGACTGTTCTATTTATTCATTCTTACTTCGTAATGACTTTACCAGATTGGTACCATTATTGGTCCGTCGCGACCTTTCTTCATCCGTTGCTTGCAACGCCTCTCCCCCTCTTCCGTCCTCTCTCTTTCGTTCTCCCTTCACTCCTCTACTCTTCTTCCTCCGTCCTCCTTACTCACTCCGCTTTTCGCCCCCTCATCTCTCCTCATTCCTTCCACCTCCCTCCTCCTTTATCCTTCCTCCTCCCTCCTCCTTCATCCTTCCACCTCTCTCCTCCTTCATCCTTCCACCTCCCTCTTCCTTCATCCTTCTACCTCCCTCCTCCTTCATCCTTCCACCTCCCTCCTCCTTCATCCTTCTACCTCCCTCCTCCTTCATCCTTCCACCTCCTTCATCCTTTATCCTTCCACCTCCCTCCACCTTCATCCTTCCACCTCTCTCCTCCTTCATCCTTCTACCCCCCTCCTCCTTCATCCTTCCACCTCCCTCCTCCTTCATCCTTCTATCTCCCTCCTCCTTCATCCTTCCACCTTCCTCCTCCTTCATCCTTTCACCTTCCTCCTCCTTCACCCTTCTACCTCCCTCCGCCTTCATCCTTTCTCCTCCCTCCTCCTTCATCCTTCCACCTCTCTCCACCTTCATCTTTCCTCCTCCCTCCTCCTTCATCCTTCCACCTCCCTCCTCCTTCATCCTTCCACCTCCCTCCTCCTTCATCCTTCCACCTCCCTCCACCTTCATCTTTCCTCCTCCCTCCTCCTTCATCTTTCCACCTCCCTCCTCCTTTATCCTTCCACCTTCCTCCTCCTTCATCCTTCCACCTCCCTCTTCCTTTATCCTTCTACCTTCCTCCTCCTTCATTCTTTCACCTCCCTCCTCCTCCATCCTTTCACCTTCCTCCGCCTTCATCCTTCCTCTTCCCTCCTCTTTCAGCCTTCCACCTCCCTCCACCTTCATCTTTTCTCCTCCCTCTTCCTTCATCCTTCCACCTCCCTCCACCTTTATCTTTCCTCCTCCCTCCTCCTTTATCCTTCCACCTCCCTTCACCTTTATCCTTCCACCTCCCTCCTTCTTCATCCTTCCACCTCCCTCATCCTTCATTCTTCCTCCTCCTTGCTTCATAGATTCCCTTCCGCCACTACAACTAGACTCCTCCCACCTGTCTCCTCCGTCATTCTTTTTCCGTCCGCTTTGCCCTGCAAAAGCTCACATCCCTAATTCTCTCCTAGCTGGCTAACCAAACAAACCCACGCAACCACACATCCTGGCTCGCTCACAAACCTCCCAAAACACCTTCCGGCAAAACAAGTGCACAGCTATCGATGTCATGTCCGCGTGCACGCTCGTGCATGGCGACGGAAGTAGTAAACAAATACAAGCTGTTCCGACACGAGCAGTAAAG